CTAAACCCTAAACCCTAAACACGTAGTAGGCTGCCAGGTTTGGAACCCCGGAAAACCTGGAAATCCCGAGCTGCGCGCTCGGAATCGATGGCCCTCAGCCTTCTGAAGGGGGTTTAGGGTTTAGGGTTCTGGGCGTACTTGGAGGTTCCTGGGTAGTTAGAAATGAGGTTCGGGCGCTCCTGGGTAGCTATAAGTAGGGTTAGGGTTTAGGGTTTAGGGTTTAGGGTTTAGGGTTTAGGGTTCATGGGTAGTTGTAAATGGGGTTAGAAGTAGGGTAACTATGCTTATAACCCATATTAGGGGACTTATAGCCCCACTTTTCACTACCCATGAGCCTCCAAGTAAGCGTTTGTCGTGTCTAGACGGGCACTCCCCAACGAGGCAGCCGCGCGGCTGCGCACGCTGCGCGATGGGCAGGTGCGCTTCAGAACTGTTCTCCGGTAAGTTATCGCATTCTTGTTGCTTGGTTCTGCAGCATTCAGGGTTAGATTTGCTGTTTCTGGAGCCTGGCGGTCTTCGCCAACGCCCGCATAAAGCACCATAATTGGGATCGTTGGTGACTAATAATGTTTCTTTGGTAATTTACACTACATCCCTTAAGAAGAACCCAGTCAATCCTCGCCTCTAGGTAGAGGCCGACACTGTATCCTTCAACGCTTTGGCGAGTGCGTGCCGGCTTGTGGGGGCCTGGCAGTGCCTGGGATGCAAGGCTTTGAATTTCTATGGTGGAGCATGGTTCAGCGTGGTTCAGGCTCCAACATCGTAGAACGTTGGAAAAAGCGGCTGGCCTTCCAAAACACAGGACCCTACACTGCAAAGACAGGATCTCACTGCACTTCTGCCCGTCCGGGACGCTCGCTGGGCCGGATGCCGCTGCCTGCGGCGCTGCTGTGGCCGACCTCCGGCTCGGAACAGACAGAGGGCTTCGATGAGCGCTGGATTGGGGGGTCAAACCACCTTACAACCACCCTTTCAGCTTCGAGCCAGGGAAAGGGTCCGCCAACATATTTTCCAGCAGCTTAGTTTAGGGTTTAAGGCTTAGGGTTTAGGGTTAAGGGTTTAGGGTCTAGGGTTTAGGGCTTTGGGTGGAAGTACACTCCACATTGATAAGGAGCTGTTTGTTCCCCATGCCCCCCCTGAAGCCCTGAGTTCCTTTCTTTGCGGCTGGAAGCCCTCGAAACCCTCAACCTTCTTGCCCCAAAGGCCCCGAATCCCCTATACCCTAAACCCTGAAGAAACCTCGAACGACGCCAAGTCCTGCGGGGCTTCCTCGCAATGGCGCTCTGCGGCAGAGCTGCTCAGGACGCGGGTCTTCAATTTTTAGGTTTCCGGCGATTTTGGCTTTAGGGTTTAGGGGAGTTTGGGTAGGCAGCCGCGACATGTTGCAGTTTCATTAGCTTTTCCCACTTGAGCCTTGGGCCCTCGCCACGGTTCCGTGCGATTTGCAAGGTTTCGTCGGGTTCAGAAATCCCTGAATCTCTCCGAAAAGGGCCGAACCGAGGGCTTTCAGCCTTGAGAGCTTTCAGGCAAAATGAAGCAACGACCTACACCGCAAGGCTCGCTCCGGTGATCGTACCGCTCCATGGAATCTGCCTGGTTGTTTAGCAATTCTTGTTGTCCCGCTTTGACACTTCAGATTTTGTACGTCTTCAGAAAGCACCCGACAGACCCCCCCGAAACCCTGAACTATGAACCCCGATTGCCCCTAAGACCCCAGAAGCCTGAACCCTAAACCCCAAGTCCCCCAACCTCCCTGAGCTGCCAAGAGGAGTGCTCGATCTCTCCGCGCACTCACCGGGCCGCCTGGACCCCTCTGGCCAAAGCTTGGTGGGATTTGGGTAGCTCTCGAAATTAGGTTCTCCCCTTTTTCGGGTCCCTTGTAGAGAGTGCCGTATATACTGTTTGGGCGACCTGAAAAGGGACCACGTAACTACCCCTTCGGATTACACTTTCGTTCTTGAGACGTGGCAGGCCTGCGCATGCCCGTGCCAGATGGCAAGATCGCGTATTTCCTTGGAAATCCTGCATCGCAGCATCGCAAGCAGATACGCCGAAGCAAAGGCCACCTTCTTCCCTCGGCCCCGGCATTCCAAGGATCTTGCTCGTCTCCGGCCTCTCCGCGAGCGAAGCGGCAGGAAGGTGGGGATGCTGTGGATCTCGTTCTTGCCACGGTTTCGGGTTTAGGGTTTAGGGTTACATGGTGATGCCTCGGGAGGAATGTTTGAGTGTTGCAGGGTTCGGGGTTTCCTGCATTTGTACGATGGAGAATTCAATCCGAGGAGGTTCAGGCCAGGCGTTACGGGTCACCAGCGCGAGCGAGCTGCCTGCGCTCCATCCCCGTCCTTCTGCCAACAAAAACCTTGGCACACGGAATGCCCAAGACTGCCGCCAGGGCATGGAGAGTTCCACAAGTGCAGTAAGATGCCGTTGCGGGCTTTTTTTTGACTGTTTTTGCCTGTTTTAGTAGGGTTTGGGTCTGGGAATCAACCCGAAGCATCACGGCTGAACGGCGCTACTTGGCTTCGCAGTGAGACCTCAAAGACTCGACAGCCTGTTCCCATGGGGGACGCACCCATAAGACCTCAAATAAGAAGACAGTAATCCAGAGACTACATGGGTGCTCTTCTCCATCCCTAAACTTAGGGTTTAGGGCCCTAAACCCCAAATCCTTCACCCTAAAATCCGAATTTTGTCCTGCCTCTATGACGGGAAGGTGGGAGGATGCCCTGCGACTTCTGCAGGCCCGGGATGTCGGCCTGAAGTAGAAGCTTTTGTTTCCTAGGTCTTCGACTGAGAGAGAGCGATATAGGGGCCTTAACAATTCGAATAGGGTTTTGGGGCATTTTATATGCTATAATTATAATAAGGAGCCCCCAAAATAGCATTGGCAATTGTTTAGGCTCCTACAGTATTCAGGCGGTTTGGGTTTCGGAGAATGAGCCCGAGACCTCGCAGCCCGAAGCTTCAAATGCTGCCCCAAAGCCACAAAAGAGCGAACATCTCCAAATTCCACACAGAAGCCCTAAACCCTAAACCACAAACACCCTAAACCCTAAGCCCTAAACCCTAAACCCTAAACCGCCTAAACCCTAAACCCTAAACCCTAAAACCCAAAGCCCTGAACCCTAAACCCAAAACCCAAGCCCTGAGTGCCGACCTCGGCCCAAGGCGTCCGCTCCGACAGCTTCCGAGCTCCTGCTGGCAGCCCGGAACGCTCTCATCGGTGCGCCTGTGGAGGGTTTCGGGTTTGGGGTTTGGGGAATAAGGGTTTAGGGTTGAGGGTTTTCAACTTTTTGCAAGGGGCTGTCAACCATCAAAGGCCCTTGATGACTTTGCAAGGTTGCGACAAGGGGTTCCAGAAAGGTCTCATGAGGGTTTCGGGTTGCGCTGCCGCATAACCCCACCTCAACCCTACCCCCGAGATGAATATTCAAGCGGATTCTGCGATCTTTCTTGAAGCTCGACGCATTTCCGAGCCTTGAAACTGGTTTTCCACAGCGTGAGATTGGCCAGCTGATGCTCATGATGCTCATGGCGGCGGGTGTTCTGGACAAGGCCATGGCCAGCTGATGCTCATGATGCACATGGCGGCGGGGCTTTGGACAAGGCCATGGCCAGCTGAT